CTGAGCCAAGACAGAAATCTGTGAGCCAGAGGCTAAAAAACTGTGAGCTGGCTCACACTAACTCAGCTTAGAGGGAACACTGCTCGCAACAACCCTCTGAGGTGGGCTCGGCTGAAGGAGTACAACTTCCCAGTAAGCTTCCATGGCAGAGTGGGGCTTCGAGCCTGGGTTTCCCAGGTCCTAGCATGACACTCTAACCACTACACCACACTGGGGGCACTTTCACACGTGCTTAATAATGCAGTTTCAATCCAGTTCAGCGACCGTTGGCAAGTGGGTTTTGTCATTGCACACAGTAAAATCCAGTTGCAAAGTGCATTGAAAGTGGATTATTTAGTGCAGGGGTCATTTTGTAGAAAAAGGTGCAGGAGCTCATTAGCACAACTCATTAGCATGACTTATTTGCGTATGCCACATCCCCGCACCAGAACTTTGTCAGAAGGCAACACCCACCGCTCAGGCTCCACTGGACTGTTTGGGATTGCTAGCTATTGGGGGAGGGGGGAACGCGCAGATCTGCCCTCACAGAAAAGGGAGAGCTTGTACCTGAATAAAACCTGGTCTTAAAGGTGCCACTGGACTGTTTTGGACTGGGGGGCCGGGGGGGGGAGCTCTGCAACTTACCTGGCTGCTTCTTGCTCTGACTGAGGGCTGCTGGGAGCAGGGGGTGGGGCTTGTTGCATGTGCCCGCCCCCTGGGCTCTTTACTGCCAGAGCTCCGCTCCTGTGCGCTCCTGCAGGAAATGACCCCTGATTTAGTGGGTGTGAAATCTCCCCCGGTCTCCCCATGCCAAGCCCTTTGTGAGCATTCGTGTCCCTTCGGATTGTACACGTGCTTACAGACCGCACATTTTGGGCTGAGTTTTAAACTTCCTGCTTTTTGGTGAACCGGAATTGTCAGGAAGGAGAGGAGGGGAGCGTCGCGGAGGGGAAGATGGCCCCCTTGGCAGACTTCTGTCCCCAAGCATAGCAAGCGTGATACACATTCTCTCTTTGCCATCAGCGAGTTAAGTTGTATTCCTCTGTCCCCCCAGCTGACGGATTACATCAACGCCAGCTTCATGGACGGCTACAAACAGAGAAATGCTTACATCGGCACTCAAGGTGAGTGTGCTTTTTCCTGTCAGACAGTCGGGCTTGGTGTTGTCGGCTATGACTGGCAGCTAAAGTGTCACGGTTCCTTATTGGGGGGAAAACAACAACTGGAGGTGCCTGGGCTTGAATCCGGGAACTTTTTATATGCGAAAATGTTTGCTTAGCCACCGTCCTGTGGAGGGGGAGGTGTGGCTCCATGGTAGAGTATCTGCTTGGCATGTAGAAGGTCCCAGGTTCAATCCCTGGCATCTCCAGTTAAAAGGACCGGGCAGGAGGTGATGGGGAAGATCCCAGAGAGCCACTGTAAGTCTGAGTAGACCTTAAGAACATCAGAAGAGCCCTGCTGGATCAGACCAGCGGTCCATCTAGTCCAGCATCCTGTCTCACACAGGGGCCAACCTGTTCCTCCAAGGATCCAACAACAGGGCATAGAGGCTGAGGCCTTCCTAAGAACATTAAAAGAGCCCTGCTGGGTCAGACCAATGGTCCATCTAGTCCAGCATCCTGTCTCACACAGTGGCCAACCTGTTCCTCTGGAGATCCAACGACAGGGCATAGAGGCTGAGGCCTTCATAAGAACACCAGAAGAGCCCTGCTGGATCAGACCAGTTATCCATCTAGTCCAGCATCCTGTCTCACACAGTGGTCAACCTTTTCCCCCGGAAGGCCAACAACAGGGCATAGAGGCTGAGGCCTTCATAAGAACATTAAAAGAGCCCTGCTGGATCAGACCAGTGAGGGTCCTAGTCCAGCATCCTGTCTCACACAGT